CAAAGAGTATTTGAAGAAATAATTGCTGAAAACTTCCCCAAACTGGGGGAGGAAATAATCGATCAGACCATGGAAGTGTACAGAACTCCCAACAGAAAGGACCCAAGGAGGACAACACGAAGACACGTAATAATTAAAATGGCAAAGATCAAGGACAAGGACATAGTTTTAAAGGCAGCCAGAGAGAGGAAAAAGGTCACCTACAAAGGAAAACCCATCAGGCTATCATCAGACTTCTCAACAGAAACCTTACAGGCCCGAAGAGAATGGCATGATATATTTAATGCAATGAAAGAGAAGGGCCTTGAACCAAGGATACTGTATCCAGCATGGTTATCATTTAAATATGAAGGAGGGATTAAACAATTCCCAGACAATCAAAAGTTGAGGGAATTTGCCTCCCACAAACCACCTCTACAGGGTATTTTAGAGGGACTGCTCTAGATGGGAGCACTTCTAAGACTAAATACATGTCACCAGAGAAAATAAAATCACAGCAAAGAAAGCAGACCAAGCAAATACTAACTAAAGGCAAAAAATAAAATCAACTACCCACAAAAGCAGTTAAAGGAAGCACAAAAGAGAACAGAATAAAACAACCAACATATAAAGAACGGAGGAGGAGAAATAAGAAGGGAGAAAAATAAAGAATGACCAGACAGTGTTTAAAATAGGTCAATAAGTGAGTTAAGTTAGACAGTAAGATACTAAAGAAGCTAACCTTGAACCTTTGGCAACCACGAATCTAAAGCCTGCAATGACAATAAGTACATATCTTTCAATAATCACCCTAAATGTGAATGGACTGAATGCACCCATCAAAATATACAGAATAATAGAATGGATAAAAAAGCAAGACCCATCTCTATGCTGCTTACAAGAGACTCACCTCAAACCCAAAGACTATAGGAACAGAGAAAGACTGAAGGAACAAAACAGCAGCAGAATCATAGAACCTAAGAATGGACTAACAGTTACCAAAGGGAAAGGGACTGGGGAGAAAGGGAGGGAAGAGAGGGATAAGGGTGGGGGAAGAAGAAAGGGGACATTACGATTAGCATGTATAATGGGGGGGGCACAGGGAGGGCTGTGCAACACAGGACAAGCATCTTACTACGCTGATGGACAGTACAGTAATTGGGTTTGTTGGGGGGATTTGGTGAAGGGGGGACCCTAATAAACATAATATTCTTCATGTAATTGTAGATTAATGACAACAAAATTTAAAAAAAAGTCAAAGTGACTTAGGAGATACATGCTGAATTATTTCAGATCTGCGAAGACTCATTATGAGAATATCTCAAATAGTTGTGAAGAAAATTTATATACACATACATGCATGCACACATATATACTAAATCTGTATCTGAATCTAGGTAGCTCTTATTTCTGCAAATTCTCTCTGTTAGAAATTTCTAAAAAATTTTGAAGCGAAAAAGAAATATAGGTGAAAAACATGCCATTCCTCTGCTTAAAAATTCTCAGTGGCCTCTCATCTAAGTGTAATGGCTAGATTCCTTTCAGTGGTGTGTTTGGGCCTTCAGGATCAGCCTTCTAACCCTTTCATGGCTTCTCACCTAATTCTTTGTAAAAAGCCAGAATCTTCTTTTTTCTCTGCTTCTGTATAGCCTCTTATGATTCTATCTCATATTCCTAGAGCATATGCTAGTGTCTGGCCCACAGTAAGAACAAAAGCACACACACTAAGTAAATGTTTGAATGGATGACTAGTTGTCTTTGTGACAGGTTTTATGTTTTCCTTAGGATTCCTGCACCCCATGTATATGTCATTTTGTGCTGCTACAGACTTTGCACCACTATGATGTTCATTACTTCCTGTGGCAATAGAGTTTATTCCTACCTTAGACTCTCAAAAATTAGGACCTGAGGTCATTTCTAAGTCTTCTGTCCCAGAGCCATGTATACTTTTGAGAACTATTACTCTTCTTTCCTAGTATCCTCTGTGTCACTTCCTTTATTTTAATCTATTTATCCCCATCCCCATTCTTATACTCTATTCTCACCCTTTTTCATCAGTTCTATCAGTAAGATGCCTTCACGGTTTCTTCATTCCCCTTTGTATAGCCAAAGTCTTCTCCCCACTCTTTGGGGGCAGATGTGAGAGGAGGAACAGACAGCTACAAGTATCCTAGGTTGCTCATCTTCTTCCCTGTAATGAAAGATTTTACTAAATATAGCTCCCTGTAAAGAAAAATTTTCTTAGTTTCTAAAATCCAGACTAGTACCTTTTAGGCAAAGAGCATTTCTCTGGCTCAGGTATTTTTCAGGTAAGAAAAAGGCAAAATAAATTTAAAAATGAACTTTTAATTCAATACTTATCCCCAGCTCATTATTCTGCTCTAATAAGCCTCTATTTTGGCACTTCAATGTATGCAGCAAAAAAGAGCTGCTGCTGTGTCTTTAAAAGCTATCCTCAGAGCAGTGTGGAGGCAGGCTTGTCACTGAAGTGCTTGAATGAGAGCAAGAAGAGGTGGGAGGGGGTGATCTTGCATCCTCTGTGAGTGTGTGTGTGTGTGTGTGTGTGTGTGTGTGTGTGTGTGTGTGTGTGTGTGTGTGTGTGAGTGTGACTGTTGGCAGAGCTCTAGGTGACATCCCTCTGAACAGCTGGGCGATGGTCTGCTTCAGAACTGCTTGTCAGAGCAATTAGCTTGCTGGAGACGCAGCAGGGATCAGTAGCATTTCATTCCATGGTGAAGAGGGTGGCGGGTGGGGTGGGGGGAACTGTGGGTGGGGGATTAGGCACAGGTTTCCTTGAAGGAATTTCTTCCAGCAAAATTCCGGCAGAGCAAATTCTTACAATGAGGTCTCCACTAATAATGTGAACTCGCTGTTGGTTTAAGTGCAGATCCATCCAGGGTGAGTTTTGGATAATTTTCTTTATACATAAAGTCCTTGAACTCCACAGACTGGGTAGGGAAGAAGCTTGAAAAGATAGGTATCTTTTGTATCTTGGTCGATTTAACTGTATAATACACAGTAGGGAAATAGAGGATTTTCAAGTGTTAAGTTTCTTGGGGGTTTTGTGGGTATTTTCATTCATTGTTTTTTATCTTTAAAATATTTTTAAAATTAGGTTTGCTAGAACTTTTATTCTATTCAGATTCTACCTTTTCCACGACTATTTCAAGCAGTGCTTCATTCAGATTTAGCTTATGGGAAGAGTGGTGATTTCTGTTCTCTTGGTGATGCTGTTGACGCACATTGCAAGAAGCAGGGAATCCCCTATAAATATCTTTCACTGTGTCATTCCACAGCTATCCACACCCAGCTGGTGAATATGTCTCCCTGTCCTATGTCTTTCTGTAACTGTCCCCTAGTCTTTAAATGTGATAAGAAGAACTATGTTGCCTTTGCTGTGTCTAGGAAGCTTTTTTGATTATGAACATCTTAGGAGGAATTTGTTCAGCCTTTTTACTGAAACATGCCTTTTGATGTGTTGAGGTTGTCACAATAATTTCCTGTGGGTTTACTGCTGCTTATTTTGGATTACTTGTTTGTTTCTTATAACTGTCTTGTTTTTGTTTGCTGGCCTTGGCTTTTGAAGAGTGTAGAGATGGGATTCCCTCTACCTCCAGTGACGTAGTGATTTTGTTTGCAGTCGTTTTCTTCTGAGGGGAGGGGACAGAGAGAAGGAAGAAGAAAAATCCGTCTGAAGCGGTGCGTTCTCCCGTCTTTGCCTTGATGATAACTGGGTACCATTGAACAGAGCTGAGGCCAAAGTAGGATGTTGGTAATGATAGAGATGCTATTTTATTTGTTTCCTTTTAGATAGCTGGGGCCAAAGTGAGAACTGATGAAGCAGAATGCCTGAATTAACCCTATATATCCTGCTGATGATGAATTTTACCTAATTGCTTTTTTTCTAAATATGGAATGAAAAAGGGTTCATAAGCAGGTTCTAGAATCTAGCATCCATGAGTTAGGTTTTGTAATTTGGAATTTTTCTACCTTATTTCCACTGCTTCTGAACAGGCAGTTTGTATGCTGTTTCTCAGACCTCAAGAATAGGTAGTTACATAAAATTCCTTGCCGTTGTAGTTAGAGTGAAATTCTCATTTTGAATGTATGGAACTGAAGCAAAGTGTTAGGAAGGAATTACTAGATATACTCCTAGGTATGAACCTAAGTTATCTGTTTTTTGGATTAAGTGTTTGGGCTTCTAGTTCTTTGTATACAGCTCCATTTTTATACCACTGATCTCTGGAGGTCTGGTACAGAGGTCAGTGTGAAAATTCAGCAACTATAGCCTAGGAAAATTGAAGGTTTGCCTGTCTGTGGGTGTGTTTGGATACCACATATGAAAAAGTGACATTAAGAACTTGCTGGTTTGTTTTCTATCTGATATTCTCTGTTCTGTGCTTTCATCTATTCTGAGTTCTGTGTGTGTGGGGAAAAGTAATGTCTGCTTTTAGCTTCCTTACACAGCCCTAGTTTTTATGGTAGTTCAATTATGTTATTATTTTTTATAACTATAAATTTTCCAAACTAACAAAATTCTAATTTAACTTAGAGAGAAGTCGGGGGAAGAGAAACGAAGATAATCATAGGGTAAACTGAGAGCATTCCAGAAGATATAACCTATTTAGAAGCTTGCCAGAGAGTGGAGCTATAAAGGTTAAGAGAAATTCCATTGCATCCTTGATATTGCAGCAAATATGTGGATAATTTCTTGCTAGCTTTTCAGGAAACCCCTGTGGTGGACAACCCTCATTAATTGTTGCTGGGAGACTGCTTTGACGTCACTGGGAGCAGTTCCCTGTCTACAGCAAGGACAGGATTAGCCTCTGAGGGGAAAGAAAACTGCTGTGAAATTAAAAGATGACGGTTTTGTTAACTTGATTTTCCTTTTATTTAGGAGTGGGTGGGATAGACCTAAAGTCTTCCTTAAATGTTTCAGTCATTAACAGTAGAAAAATTACTAAGAGGTTTTTTCATTTCAGCTGAAAGTACCTTCTTTTTAACCTTTGTTTTCTGTCAAGGTTTTGGAAAAAGTCAAGGAAAGAAAAGCTGTTGAAAGGCCCTGGAGAAGTAAGATTTCAGTTTCTTTTTACCTTTCCACATTTTTCACATATCCTCTTTTCAGATTTCCTTTGTTTCTTTCTTTCATTTTAAAGAAAAGATCAAGAACTGCTTTTGCAAAAGATGCTTAGCATCACCCTGTTTGGGATAATTAAAAATGTGGTATATGTTAGAAGAAATTGCTGGCAAAATTGATAGGGACTATTTCTGTTCTTAAAGGTTACTACATGTACTTCTCTCTCATGTTCTATCCTAGCCCACCCACACCCAGTGTTACTTAACCTGCTGGATCTCCACTTTTTGGGAAGGCATAGTGGCTAAATGCTTGGACCATGTATTTTGGGTTGCCTGAGTTCAAATCCCAGCTATGCCAATTGCTGGTTTTGTGACCTTGGGCAAATTACTTAACCTTCCCATTTCTTCATATATAAAATACGTGAAATGAAGATAATAATAGTATTCACCTCCTAGGGGTTTTTTGAGGATTAAAAGTTAATGCATGTAAAACATTTAAGATAGTTCCTAGTCAAAAAAAAAAGGTCCTAGTCATTTTAAAGGCTTACAGCATTAGCCATTGTTATTAATATTTAGAAATTAAACAGGGATCACCTGTAATTTTTGAGGAAGTCAAAAGAAATTTTCAAACCATTAAGGATATTGAGTTTTTAAAATGAATATAAGTATAATTTAAATATTGAAACTTAAAATTGACATAGTTGATCCTTTAGGAAGTATCTTTTCTAATTTGATGTTTATAGACCAAACTTGGAACACGTTTCTTTGGATTAACAGCTCTCCTTTTCTTTCTTCGGCCATCATTGATCTTCTGACTTCTGTAGATTGTTTCTTTAGTTTTTGTTTTGTTTTTTTTACTTTCTGTCGTTAGTTCTGATCTACTTAAAAATATTAGGACACTTGCCTTTGTTGTTCACCTCTGAAACTGTATTCTCTGCTCCTCTGTATGTGAGTTGATGTGGCATTGTTCTTTCTCCAAAAATTTGTGGGAGTGTAAGATTTATATGAAGCATTATGTATAAAGACTCCTAAAATTTGCAAACTTAAAAAAAAATCAAGGATCTTAAATGAATCAAATGTCAAATCACAATACTAAAATACCCGATATCTCCATGCCCTTTTACTTTTTAAAAATTTAATATTAAAGACTTAGAATGTTACTCTTTTGTGGTGTTCAAAACTTCACATTTTTGGTTGCTCTTTAAACCACCAAGGTACACTAACAAGAGCTAGTAAGGTAGATAATGGCAAAGAGAGTATCTCCCTGCATAACTTTTTATCCATTCCTCCCAGTGAATTTTCTTAGCCCCGTGAGTCTTACGAATATGGGGTACATATCTGCTCTAGTGGAATATATGAGGAAGGAGAACTGATATTATTAAAAGGACGTGAATTGAAGAAAAATGAAAGTGAGAAGCACTGTGGGAGTGAATGTCCTTAAAATCCAGGCATTACAATGGGATATGCTAAGTGGACATTATATGTTGCTGGGATGACAGTTGAGAAACATTATAAATAGATAGTAAGACTGTGCTTGCTTCTATTAACAAGAGTGAACTAAGGGGTAGATTTTTTATCTCCAAAAAATACTTGAATGTATTTATCCTATGGGCTTGATGAGAAATGTGAATAAAGGTTTAGATACAAAGATATTCATGACAGCATTATTTTATTATAAAAATCAACAGCTTCCTAAATATCCAATAATAAATGCTTAAATAAATTATGATAAATGTATGTAGTAGAGTATTAGATAGCTATTAAAATGACTTTATTAAAAGTACTTAACAATGGGGAAAATGGTCACAGTTTTAGTAGTAGAAAAAACATAGTATAAAAATATATAAATTGCAAAAATTGGTTATGGCAGCATACCCAGTATGGACACAAATTCCATACAAATATGGAAACAAAGTTAACAAAAATATATCGAAACACTGCTGCTATTAATAGCAATTATCTCTTGAGTTACAGATTATGAGTGATTTTTCTTTCCTTATACTTTTGTGTGTTTTCTCTAAGTATAAAGAAGCCTAATAATAAAACAAGAATAAAAAAATTGTAAATCCTTATTATTTGTATCTGAAAGTAAATATTCAGAATGTGCTGAAGTGAATATAAATTTGATGACATATAAATTCCTAAGCATAGTGTTTGGAATACAGTAAATACTCAATAAATGATAGTTGCTGTGGCTGTTGTTATATTACTTGAAGAAATAGCCCCATGTAATCAGAGCGCGGGGCTTTCATGCAGGGAGGCAATAACACTGAGAAAGTAACCCATTTGTACAGTTTCTTGTCTTTCTGAGGTCAGTAAATATGCTGTGCTATGTACTGGTACAGGATCTTTAAAAAAAAAATGTTGTAGGCAGAGTGAGATGTTTTGGTTTTCTATTGTGAAGGTATACAGGAAACTTAGAGAGAAAGGCCTCCAAGTGATTCTCTTTGCGGTGACTTTTTGGGTTTTTTTGTTTTTTAGCTTTGGTTTAATTAATAACTCCCACTACAAGTTGCTTTTACCCCATTTTCTGGGTTGCCTCTTCAATGACCTTGATTCTTCTTGATGTCTCCTTAATTCTTGGGAAATTTGAAACAGTGTAACAGAAAAAGGTTTTCTCAGTTCTAGGAATTTCTGGAACTCTGACTGTTGCTTCTTATGTTAGTTTGCCTTTATGGGTCCATTGGAACCCAATGCTGACAAGACATGTAGACTTCCATCTACTCTGGACTTGCTTGGGAACTGAAATGCACATATAAGAAACTACATTCAGCATGTGCCAAACATACTGGAAATACACACATTGATAACTTTTTACTGGGCAGTACTGTCAAATATTTGTAACATTTGACTGTTTATTATTCATATTCACTATAGTTCTTTACATAAGTAACTTGTACAATAAATACATATTTAGTAGTCACAGAAACAATGACTGTAGTTTTAACACAATGGCTTTTGTACCTGAGACCATTTTCTCTTCTATAATGCACAGTAATAAATGTACTTAATGCTATGGAACTATACACTTAAATATAATGAAAATGGTAATTTTTATATTATGTGGATTTTACACAGTTAAGACCAAGCAAAACAAAAACTGCAACAATGTAAACCAGGTGAAAATGTACAGTTTTCAAGCTAATTTTGACCCTAAACATCTCAGATTGTGCCTACTTCTCAACATTCACTTACAACCATATACCAGAAGTTGGGGACCAAAGATACTTATTGCAGACAGAGATATTGCACTGGTTATTGGTGAAAAGCATGTCAGGAAAGAGGAATACCTTGTAATGCAGTCAGATGGAATTAGAATGTTAATGAACACTACTGGGGAGAATGATAGGGGTTTTTTTTTGTCTAGTCTTCTCATCTACTTTGTAATTACCTTGTGTCCTCTTTGCTTTAAGGAGGTCTGTAGGTGAAGGGGAAGGAATGGGGGCATATGAAATGTAAGGAGCAAATACTATTTTCTCATTTGGACAGGGCAGTTTTTTTCTTAAGCATGCTAGAGGTTGGTAGGGAAGAGGCATGTAGAGGAAAGGACAGATATAGAATTTCAAGGACAGATTTGAGAATATGGAGAATAAAGTCTGAGATCTGTGAGTTTTGATGCTTATTTTGACATTTAAAAAAAAGTTATGGGAAACTTGTAAAGATTAGCAGTCTTAAAACTTTTAATTCTCTCTGTATGTTACGGCATGGGAAGCTTCAATATTGTGGTTTCAACTGGGCAACATGCCCCTCCTACTAAGTCCACAGTTTGTCCTGGTGTTCTTCATATCAGGATTCCTGAATTTCTGTACTAAAATTAAACAAGGGAAAATCTCTGGAGCTTTTAGGATCCCTTCTTATTTGTGTAAATTCATGTCATTGCTATTCACTCTTTCCCCCCACTATTAGTTTTTAGTATACGAGAATGGCATAATTTCTTATTTGTAGAGACTATTCTTTAACAGTATTTGCAGCAGTGTCTGTGGAAAATGCTTTATTAAAAAAAAAAAGGCAAGGGAAATCTCATCTGGTAGCCCTTAGTGATGGAGCCTGTTGCCATGGAATCCTGGATCAGATTGGCTGACCCGGGGGCCAATGAGCATATGGAACATAAGCATATCATCATTTAACCTTGCAGAGTTCATTTATTCATGATATATGACATTAATACCATAATTATATAGAGAGCTGTGAAATAAAATGTTCCAAGAATGGTATAAGGTGTTTTTTTTTTCTCTTCTCTTTAGATAGTTGCTGTTTAAAATAAACACTATAATAATACATTATCTTTTTAATGTGATTTGATTGGGAGAAGATATGGTGGGAAACACCTATCACCTGTCTGAATCAAGCTGCTGCTGCAGTCAGTTGATCTTATGCCAAGTCCAAGTCAAACTCTTGTCTTCCAGACCAGAGATTTGTCTCTATATTTGAAGCTGCCTTGCTTATTTTGGTAGCTTTAAAGCTGAGTCATAAATTGATAGCTTTTTCTTACTTGTTTTTCCTTCATTCTCTTCTACTCCAATATGGTAGATCCCTGTCTGTGCTACTTTTGCACACAGTTTAGTCTGGAATTAGAGTATTAGCTGGGATTAGCTCCCATGTTCTGAATCTTCATTTCCCTAGCTTGTTCACGTTTATTGACATAGGTCTGGGAGATTTTACTCAGATCATTGTTATCTCCTTGTCATAGCAGACTGTTGCAAGATACAGAAGACTGTATCTTCTCCTGTACCTTACTGCTTTGGAGACTGAGAATGAGTCATTCATACTATGAAAATTTCCCCTCTAGATTTTTTTAATGGAAGAAGTTGAGAGTATTGTCTTTCTCTTCTTATGTTTTACATCAGGGGTACTTGAGATTATGGTGGGTCTTGTTCTCTTTCCCTGTAGTGCTCCCATGCTTGGCTCTTTGCAGATTTGAAATATTGAAAAAGACCTCAAGTGGTCCATGAGTTTGTTCCCTTCTTTTGAGCTATTCAAATCTCTGTGAGTGA